GAAGATTTTATTATGTGTTCAAAAAATAAACGAAAAAAACAAAACAAATGAAATAACACATTAACCATAAGTTGTTTAAACGGAATTATTTGTAAATATATAAACCAAACAATTCCTTAATCTACACAAAGGGAGGCTTGGTAAAAAAAATTAAGTGGACGTTATAATAAAGATGTATATGAATGCATGTAATTGCTTTCCATTAATTTTGTCCATGCGAATATACTAAACAAATACAATTATAAAATTAGGTAATTGGAAATTTCTCTAGCCTATGGTATGGAACACAAACGACACTAAATTGTTCACGGGAGATAACAATAAAAAATACCCACTTGATTTGTGAGAGAATGGTTATATACCTTGAAAACGATAATAAAAGAATATTCCCATTTCAGTTATACAAACATATTCAGAATTAAACTTTTATTTTGTACTAATACGTACTTATATGTGATAGTAGAGATGTCTTAATAAACAAACATGCTCGATATGAGATACACTAGATAAAACATTAACTACTTAAACAAAGGATTTACTTAAATAATCTAGTTTTGTTCTTCTGTATGACCGCATAATGTACACATTTATAATACAAATCTTTACAGATCCTAAATTAACAGTTAGTATCTACTTTATGTGATGTTGGATGGCATATATATTTTTGAAAAACTATGCGAAAAAAAAATTATTGAAAAAATTGCTCAAACATAAAACACGTTATTAGAGTTGAACTTCACACGATCCGAGTGAATGGCTAATTAAAGATATAGTGGTAGATGACAACTACACTACTAGTCTAGTTATGAATATGCAAGAAATAAATGACACCATCATAGTCAGTTTTTTTTCCTGTTTTAATGGCTAACACACACACAGTCAATCTATGAGGAATTTCGATTCTAGATGAGTGTATACATGGCTTTATTACACCATAATAGCAAAACAAACTGTTGTAGTTTTTAAAATCTTTTTTTTTTAATAAAATGTTTGGTTTAATGTTCCTTAATTTTAAACTTCTTATGTATACTCACCATCAAGAAAATATTGCCTTAGTTAAATGTTTACATCTATCTATTTTAATATATGAAATGTTGCTTATGTTCCTGAACATTATATAAATAATTTGATTACTGTATATCCATTATTTTACCATAGCATTGTTTTCGGGTTGTTTACATTCGACGAAGTTTCATCTCAACAAAGTCTAGAGAGTCATACGAGCCTGTAATGCCATACCAATTAATTCCTTCATCAGCAACACGACTCGCCCATTCACCGTTGACGTTAACCAAGTGACAATGACCATACCACCAACCACCTCTCATGTCTACAGCACAGTTTTGACCTGACCGCTCATCGTTATCAGAGTCAATGGTTGTAAACTTCCTGCCTTTGTGATGACTGAAACTTTCATAATTCCCAGCACTGAATGACGTGTAGCTCATCTTATACTTTGCTGCTTCATTTTCTACCTTAAAACCTCTGTACACGGCGTAGTAATCTCTACCTTTATACTTCATGTCAAATCTGAGTTCATTATAACCCTGTGTTAGACAAAAAATTAGAAATATTTAGATATTGCATTGTGTTTGAAATATTGTAAGTATTGATCCCTCTATACTATATGATAATTCTACATATTGATTAAAAAAAGGAACGAAAATCTATAAACAATATACATAATTTTCCAAAACACATTATTACAACAATACACACACTGCTTGAAAAATTTCTTTGTAAAAGGAAAATATCGAATAAACTTATTATAATAGTTCCAGTATCTATCCCATCATTAAAACAAAAGACGTCTGTTGAGAAAGGAAATATTACATTATTTATTGCCTGCTTACATTGCAACTTAAAAATATATTCCCTTACAAGAAATACTATTTATATTTAATTTACGTATGGCTTTTCTAGAACTCCCTCCTTTTCATTAATCACCTTACTTTGCCTGCCGTTGTAACACGCTAGCAGGTGATAAAGCCATCTCCCTTACAATATATATTAATGTACTTTTCCTTCTTTTGATAAGCTCAATTGCCCTAATTCTAAATCTTACAACGTATATTATTTGTATCGCTATATGTATGTTGTGTAATGGGGTTAATATAATTAAGGTGAGGGCAGGCGGGAGGGTGTGGAATAAAACTGTTGATAAAACCGGTAGAGGAAGAAATGACCGGTGGAAAATATCCTGCTGACTGCATTACACTATTCTTTAAAGTTCGTTACATAACCACGATCTTTATTATATAAGCTGTGTTACCCTTCCTAAAATATCTAACTAATCTGTAAATCGGTTCTCTAATAAACACTTAAGAAATCAACGGATCAAGACCATTAGTTTTTCCCGATAAAAATAAAAACACGCTATGTTAATGTATTCATCTATTAACATACTGCATGTGCAGTAAATGCACCTTCGTCATATAAAGTGAAGATGTATAGTATTTGTATCGTTAGTTTGTATCGTTGTAAAATTTAAAAACTCAACGAAATACATTACTATGCATTCGCCATTAAAATAGCACCTTACTTAATCTAGGTCCATTTAAATGTATTTTAAATATTTAATGCCAAGACTGATGATTTAAATGTGCATTTCAGTGACATGTGTACACCAGACGCATGGTCTATTCGATATGAAGATTATATAAAATTATCAACATGAATGTATTAGTAACTGTAAACAATTGTATGCTAAATTAATAGCAGAAATTTCAAGACTTTGCATTCATTACGTATCTCCACATGTTTCTTATATTATCCATCCATCTATTTACCCCCTTTTTTAACTGCCCATTAACAGTTTTAGCCAGATTCAATACAATCTTCCACTCATATTTGTCATATGTCTTCATAGTCCAATTCTTAAATTTTATTTTGCTATCTCCACCTCAGCAATGCATCTAGGTCAAGTTGTAGCTAACATTATGGTAGCAATGCAGAGCGTGTCTAAAAAAGCATCGCATGTTTTTCTCGATCAGTATACAACCTCTAGGGCGGCTTAATACTAAACCCGTTTACAACCTCGAATGTATAAGGTTTACGGTTGGGTAATTTATATTTAACTCGAGCTTCCGAGTTTCTTGATTACAACACCTTAAAGTCACCCTTAAAATGGTTTTGCTTACCTCTATTAACACTGTTATCCAATTTTTGACCTTTAAAACTCCACCGTATCCCCACACATTATTATAGCTTCACGCCTACCCACCCAAAACATGTCGGTACTAAGCAGTCAAAAAATCATGGCTACGACTATGCACATCGACACTGAAGCACCACACTTTATCCCCTCCCACTCAATCACTAACTCACTAACCTTTTCGGAACCCCCCACCCCACAACCCCTTCCCCAAACAACCTCACCATACCCCCACCCACCAGAACATCAGCTTTGATTTGAAAAGATCAAGCAGAGCTCATTATTACTTCCCCTTATTTTTACATAGTTTAAATCCTAAATTATCTGCCCCTAATAGCCGTAAATAATTCGACCGGGCTCTACGATTGTAAAGAAATCACCAGACTGGTAGGGTGAGGGTGGTAGCGACATGGTCTGTTGGGTATGCATGGAGAGATAGGGTGTGTTCGGCGTGCGTCTACGTCTTGTCCCGAATGGTCCGTATGAAGAGAATTATATACTTAGATGTTTATTGTACAAAATGGGATGAAATCCACTTAAATACTTTATTTTCGACTATTCTACTATATGTTATAATTTTCACCCTCATTTGGGTAAAATGTTCTAAACCAGCCTTTGACCACTTTTTTTAAACCAACATGCTTTAAACCCAATGTATTTTATGTATTTATTTACTTATTTATCTATTTATTTATTATACCATATGCATCACTCTAACTACCTTGTAAATATCCCCCCCCAAACGGCATGTTATGTTACCGTAATTGTTTTAAAATTATAAAACACGATTACGTTAGGTCCAAAATTAGTTTTGACATTATAGTATCTGGTTTGTTATCTCAGAATAGTTACACATCTCATTGACATTTTCTAAATTACTCAGGAAATAGATAATTTAAAATTAATTGAAGCAGGCTACAAAAACTCTTTTGCGTGGGATCCTTTTTTTTATAGTTCCGCAATGATAATAACACATCAATATATTTTCTTCCAAGAAAAATCTAGATTAAACGAACGTATGAATGCCAATTGTAGTACAATATCCTTCACTTACCTAATCAGTTATTCACTGGTAGTCAATAATACCCTTTTCCCTAAAATGTATTACCATAGTTCTGTAATTACTGTCCTCTCCTTTAAATTTTAACATTTTACCATTCCTATCCATCTCCTATTCATAACCCTAAGCTTTACATATCGCTAACCATTTTATACATTTCTCTATGTACTGGTGTCCGTTGAATAATAAAATGGGTCAGTGTCCTATTGCGTTTTGTTTGTTGAGTGGGAGTAATTTACAGGGGTAGTTAATCTGAGAAAATGATAGGGGGATATGACTTGAGGATAATTAAAGAGGGTGGGAAGGCGAGATGTGTAATATTCTTTCCTCAGGTTTTCCCTGACCTATGAAGAAAAAATCAAAACTTTTTTATAGAGGAGTTATTTAAAAATAAATAAGTGTATCTCATCTACAATTCAGAGATCAGATAATAATAATAGTAAAATATAAAAATCACTATAATAAAAAGCGTGTTTAATACGTAATTACCCGTGTCATATTAGTTACTACAACGTATTTAATCGCCAACACAAGTACTAAATTTTAAAGTAGATACTTTGTTGAAAATCACGTAGAAAAAATTATGATCAAATTGAAAAATTGATGTTGAAACGACCCCATGTTTTGGGAAAAAGTTATCACATAACGTAAATTAACAAGCTAGAGTATACATTTATCGAATAAAGTGATTTTTTTAAGAATAAGAAATTAAGTGATTCCATGTACATTGTGCAGTACAAAATTCAGTTTCCATGCATATTTTTTAAGTAGCCGTTATTTCCTTACCGAATCTGTCAAGTGAGAAATGACGTCATTTCCGATCCAAAAGTCTCCAGATGTTGAACCAAATCCATTTTTATAATCGTTCCAAGTTCTTGTAAAGTTCACATCACCTTTGATACGTCTCTGTAAGAAAAATGGCACCGCTACAGTAAAGTCATAGCAAGTTGATATAATTGATATCAAAGATTAATCATGCTTCAAATTACGCACTAGAAATTTTTAAACGTTTTAAATAATCAAAACGCTTCTCTACGAAATAATAGCATTGATAAAACTACGGTTAAGTGAGTTGATTTGATTTATTCTAAGGCTTAATTATCTTTGAAATATATTAGGATTCTAGTTATATCATACAACAAACAATTTACATAAAATCAATGCAGTCGTTACTTTATAAGACCTAATATTCTTCACATTAACTCTCTAAAATATTTCCAATACTTTGTGTGTTACAACTATCACGAGATAAAACTCTTACTTTAACGTTTGCTTCTGTTCAAACTCGAAACCAAATAAATGCCCAATTTTATACATACAACAGACAGGATATTTTACAAATACATAGTCTTAAAAAATGCACTAAACACTATTTTAGTTTATCACATAATCTGATTTTGTCTATTTTATTCTAATACCCTAAATTTTATTCAGATCAACAAAATAAACAAGAATATTAGATTCAGCTTTTCTCCCTAAAACGATGAGATATATTAACAATTCTGTTGTGGACTGGTCACCTGACTTCGGGTAAACCAATAAGAATATTAATCTGCAGTTTACCAGAACTATAAAACAACTAGAGCTAATGTCTTTTGATGCCGATAAAACATTTTAGAGTCATCGTAATTTCAAATAGATAAAATATATTATACAAACACTAAGTATTTAGTTCAACTATTACGTTTTTTTTAAATATGTTGCTAAGTGTCTATCATTGTGTATCATACATCTGTTTTCAATAGAATAAATACATTTAAACAATTAGAAAATATATCGGAAAAATGGTGAATGGCTAAGAAAAATGACAAATAAACCTGTATAATAATCCATCCACCACCGTCAGTCTTTGTATCACACAATGTTCTTTTGGCATCTACTCCAGCCTCTGTCATGTCCGATAAAACACGATCGTTCATGTTGGCACATTTTAACTGGAATCAAATTCATTTCCAATATTTTTATTTATTATTATTAGTTGAAACGGAATGAAATTAAAATATATACGTCTATTCAGACAGCTAAATATTTCTCTTTTCTTTATAAATAATTATATTGTATTCACTACATCAACATCATCGCCTCATACCACACACCTACGAAGAATATATACATACAAATGTATGTATGTATTCATATACGTATATATGTTTATGCGTGTTTAAATATGTATAAGTATAAATATATTCGCAGAACTATTGTTAGTATGTGTTAAAGCTATTTCACAAAAATAGCCAATTTAATATATCGTTTACTTTCTAAACATTGCCGAGACAAGGAAATAATTTTTATAAATGTGCGCTCTGATACAGCAGCAGCAGAAGTAAAAAGTGGTGAAGTTATTATTTTAAAGACATTTGACTAAATCATATTTTTAAAAATATGTATTGATTATGCAATTTTCTTTTAAAGTAAATAATAACCCGCTAACATTTGTCAGAATATTATCTGAATATTAAAAATATTTAAAAACATTTTTGTTTTTCTACTTTTGACGCAACTAAGAAAGGTATTAATGTAAGGCTAATTCGAAAACATACTATGCCTAAGTAAAAACTTTAACTTTTAACTACTTGGGAGCATTGCCAAATGTTATGGCGGAAGTGGAAAATTTCAAATCGGGATATAGCAGATTTTGATCCTGTACAAATTATATTTAACTTACGTATTCGCTCCCGTTAAATCCATGAACTCTACCGACTAGAAAACTAATTTGATCTGATTTAGTAATCAGGTTTTGAATGGTGTTGTTCATCTTCTCCGTACGGGCATGTATATCAATGTCAGTATTGTTTAGTAGTGATACAGCTGATTTGAAATCCTTTAGTGTCTTTGACTGTGTCTCTGACAGGTTTTTGTAGCTTTCCCACAATTGTTGAATGCTTATATTTTGACGTTGTTCCAATATCACTGTGCTATTTTTTAACATTTCATTAGTTAAATTTAGTAAATCTGTTTTGAAATCTTGCATGGTTTTTGTTAAAATTTCACTTTTATTTAACCTTTGAGACAAAGTTTGAACATCGAGTGATACATTAACCACACTATTATTCAGTTTCTCCAGTTGTTTTTGTAAAACAATGTATAGATTTGTTACATTTTGTACCGACCTATTTTGTTTTTCAAGTGTGTTATTGTTTGCTTGTATCTGTTGAATTGTCTTTAGAAAGCTTACAGTTAAGTTGTGTTTAAAATGCGTCAACTCTTGATTTGTGCTATTTAAGGTGTTCAATCTGTTAACAATGTTGTTCATTTGATTTTCAAGTCTCTGAATTGTAGATCCTTGTGCAGATACCAAGCTATTTAATCTACTTTCCATCGCATTAGTAAGGTTAACCAGAGTTTCATCACCCTTCTCCTTTGTTAATTCTGTTTCATGATAACTAAAGTTAGAACATTTGTGGTCTGTTAAAAACTGTAAATTCATCTTCAAGTCAGCTCTGTTCAACTTATCAGAATATTTAAATGTTTTTAGAAACTCTGACATTATATCAATTGTTTTATCAAACTCTGGAGTTTTAGCCTCTAAGGTCATCAACATCAGTGGCTTAAAATTGTCTTGGTCAACAGGCTTGGTTTTATTTTCTTTCATCTCAGTGAGACCCCTTCTATTTGTGTAATACACATCACATCCAAGCACTGTACTAAAACAATCATAAGGTTTTGTAAACGACACAGTTAACTCTCCAAACATCTTTGAAAACTTTCCATCAACTTTTGATCCAGTTACTTTATAATCTCGAACGCTTGAATCTGATTCTGATACAGACGCCAACACAATCTTCCCCTCTAATTCACTGATCCTATAGACTGACATGTTGACAAGAGCTGAGATTTCATTATCTTGTCTTGTGTTCTCCACACAGCGTAACTTGCCACAAAATAAATCTTTACCCTCCATATAATATTCTCTTTGTAGTGAAATGTCAAGTCCTGGAATGTAATGAAATAAAGCACTGAAATTGGTCAAATTAAAATATTTAAGAAATGATTTTCTTTTAATACATTTACTGCATAACATCTATTGCAATTCCTTCATAGTAAAATGTCCGACAGAAGTATATTTAATAATTGCAAGAAAAATTAACTTCACAAAAATGGTATCGTATACAATTAGTTGTAGCATTTTAATCCGTGGTAAATTATTATGGAATAATAAAATAAAACACTGAAATCGGAGAAATAAAATTATTTATGAAATGAATTTCTTTTACACTTCACGCATAACAACTTCCGAATAGTTACATCTATTAAATTCTTGCGGAAAAAGTTATTTTGAAAGAAATCTATGTATTAATTGCAACAAAAATTAAAGTTACAAACGTGAAAATGGTAATTTATACATTAAATTTTTATTATTGTAATCTTGGTAAATTATTAATAAATATGTATTAGTTGATTTAAAGTACTTGGACAAAGTCAGTAACTGAAAACACGTATGCGTATTTATACACGTGTGTTTAAACACACTACTTATCAAATTACATAGAACAAAACTTAATACATAACTACGTATAAACGTTCGCTAGTAGTATACCAAAAAAATCAATTTAAAAAAAAAATTGTGTATTATAATTTTTAAATTAATATCTCAAACGTGAAACAAACGACAGGCATCAAAAGTTAAAATATATCCCTTTTTTCTGTTTAATAGAAATTGAATTAAAATTGAAATACTTTGTAATAAGCTAGTACAGAATTGACCTCGGCAATGGTAACGGCGTAATATGAAAAAAACGGGTAAGATTGCTGCTCCAATAGTTCCGATTTCGGTGACTGGTCAAATCATGAACATTAGCTAGAAACCGCAACGTATCGTAGGGAAAATAAACATCTACGAAACCCATCAACTGCTACCTTACACATTTCTATTGGATGGGCAAATTCTAGGGAATCGTATCCAGAAAGAGAAGCTTGATGATTTTCGGGTAAGCAAATAAAATGACCCAGCACATAAAACAGACAATAATGAAGTGTGTTGCGGGCAATGATGTCGCAAAGTACATTAAAAGTACAAATAAATGAATAAACCATATGACCCAGAAAATATAATAATGACGTGTGTTTGAGGCAATGACGTCGAAAAGTATATTTAATAACAATCGGAAGAAATTGATTGACGAAAAAGATAACAAAACATCTTTTTTGTAAGAACAGTTAGGTTTGTTACTCATATATTAAAAAAAACTACTTGCTTAAAGCAACTAATTTTATTTTTTTTAAATCAGAATATTTAGACCGATTATACATTTTAGTTTTTGGACGAGATTGAATTCAGGTGACAAAAAATTTTGAGATCTGTTCCATGAGGTTGTAACCTAACTCAAGCTATGGAACAGTAATGAAGACTTAGTTAATCATTTTGTCCATGCTTTAAAAACTAAAACAATCGTTACCTAAAAATATACAAATTATCAAATGCATCATTCGCCATCTAATTTGTGATGCAGGTATATACAAATGTACTCACCGCATGTGAACATTATATTTACAACCAACAGAGCCGTCACTAAAACAGCAGACATTGTAGAGTTGTGTAGTTCTGTATCACACGAACTGGAGACTTCTCTAAACCGCTGCTTCTGTTTACTTGTGAGTATATCGCCGTCTATTTATAGCACAAATTTGTTTCAGATGTCAAAGATGTGTTGAACTTTATTTAAGGTTAAACACGTTTTTTTTTTCAAATCAATTGATATTTGTAAAAATTATTTTAAAAAAGTACTTTTCATCATCATATTGAAAATCCCTGAATTGCATGAATGGAGTAAACATATTATACGTAAGTAATTAGCGTGGGTGTGGTAACTTAGCTTCCCACCAGTATGACGTTACATGCAGTGACCGGAAACAACTCAAGCATCGAGATAAGAGGTCAGCTGTCTACTTAAACGATCAGAGTGCTGGCATATTACGAAACAAAAATAAACATGTGATTATATCAGCTGCACCTTTGACCCTGCAGTAAAGTTATTTTTTTGTCATACTTTTCTCGCGGTGTGAATAATGATTTTACAAATATTCTAGAAAATGTTGAATTTTTTTAAAAAACATATTAAATATGTAATGGTATTTAAACAATTATTGCATAATTTACAGTATGAAGAAAGTCTTTTTAACGTTAAGGAAAATTCATGCAATTTTTTCACATTATCTTATCCTTACACACAAAAAATAATTAATTAGTCAAAGTGCATCGTTCAGTACTTTCATTCCTATACACATTGGTTGTAGTCGAATAATAGAAGATATACAAATTGCACGGTTTTAACATAAATTGAGAAATATAGTATGTACCATTGACAACAGAAAGAAAAACTGTTGACATTGATATTATTATCTATATACTACTAAAAGTCAAGTTTGTTTACATGTTTGAATATTTATTTGTTTGTTTGCCTGATTGACTATTGTGATATGTTCGACTCTACCGGGACAGCTGTAAAATAGTATGTAGGTAGAGAATAATTTTTTAATGCAGACAGACTGTTAATCACAAATTTATTTAAAGACGTTAATTAATTTATTGATTTATTCATTGTTAAATTAACCGTATTTTTTTAAAAATGTTAATACTTTGAATAAACTTTTGTGGGGATAGTGACGTCCCTTGATAGTGACGTCAGAGTTTTTTGTTGACTCTTTAGTACAATAAAATGGCGGCGTCTATCGAAGAAAATTGTGTTCCCATTTCAAAGTTTAACGCGTTCTAAATCTAATTTTCTGTCGGTCATAACTTTAACAATACGTCCGTTTGCTGTATTTATTACGTTCCAACACTTATATCAATTTTCAACTGTCTTTTTTCATTTAGTTTTACAATAAATTTCTCTAGATCTAAAGATCAGCTGTCGAAGGAAATTTATGAATCTAGCCTAGATCTAGATCTAGGTCACTAAACTCAATGTAAATTCTAAATCTAGACTTAATGTAAATTCTACATCTAGAATCTATTTCAGGCCTTAATACATCTAGAATCTATTTCAGGCCTTAATTATTTTATATAAATCTTTGTTTGGCTAATTTAAGATAAAATTTAATTTGAAAGTTACTACTTCTAGACTAGACGCTCGAAATCAAGTTGCATCAAAGTATAGTATAAAAATTCATTTGTGACGTCACGAGTAAATAGCTAAGTTTGTAGCGTAGTCCGCTCTCATGCGAGTGGTACAGGTTCTAGACCAATATGTCAATGATATTTTTTTTCAATTTTTTTTTTTTAGATGTTAATGATAAAAAATGATATTTTTTTTCAATTTTTTTTTTTTAGATGTTAATGATAAAGTTGCCTATCTGAACTTGGCAGGATACAGGGCAGGTGAAGTAGAGTTCATCTGTTTCTTTGTCCTAACCATATGAAAGGATAGTGTGGTCAGAGACATGCTCGGCTGGAATCGTTTTTTAAACGATAAAAACATGTTGTCTGAGACTTGGCGGGACACTGGGCAGGTGAAGTAGAGTTGAGTAGGTCACATGTGACGTCAGTATATGAAGGGATAGTCCGAAATCGGTGTTTTCGGTGTTTTTAAAAGATAAGAAACATATTTTTGAATGTGGGCTCTGTTTTTGTGACGATAAGTGACACTGCAGTAGCGTAGCGAGGAGGGGGGGGGGCGGGGGGGGGGGAGGCGGGGGGGGGGGGGGGAGGGGAGGCGGGGGGGGGGGGGAAAGGGGAGGCGGGGGGGAGGGGAGGCGGGGGGAGGTGAAGGGGGGGGCGGGGGGACGTATGTTGGGGCGCCAAAATGGTTTGGAAAAATAAATTGAAAGGTTGAGTGGGGGGGGGGGGAGGGGGTGCACATCAAAAGTTTGAGGGGGGGGGGGGGTTGAAAATCGAAATCTTGGGGGGGGGGGGGGTTAAAATCGAAAAGTTTGTCCCCGGGCGCCGGGAAGGCTCGCTATGCCTCTGAGTGACAGACGTGATGTTTTTTGATGGATGACCCCCGAAACCCACAGTTATCCAAGGGATGACGGGTATTCTAGTAAATTTATAAAGTTGTGTACGTCCCCACATGTCTAGACGGTTTAATTGAGCGTATAGTGATTAACTCACGCGTCATAGCACAATTATGTACGCGCAAGTCGTTTCTTGGCCTACTTTAAAGATGTAAGTGTGGGACGCACTAATATGTGTTTTCGATTTCCCCTTGAGCTTCTCATGTGAGAGTAAATAGTAAA